GTAATCAATTGTGATATTTACGGTATTCTACCGTACTTTGATTTGCGTACCTCAGGAAGGAAAAATCATTTATACTGCACTTACGCATATTCCTTTCCTTCAGAATAAGCAGATGAGTTAGAGTCCATGTGAATTGTTCATTTGAGTCATTCAATGGTCTTAAATCTGCATGTCAAGCTAATTTTCGCACCAGCTATTTATGTGTAGTGATTTGAATCGGTAGCTTATCGACGCATAAATCAATGCTTTTTACTACAAAAACATTCGTACTATTTGAAACAATTAAAGTTTAGAAATATCCTTCCTCAGCGACGATGAACGACAGCAGCAAGGACGATCGATGCGTAATCATTACAGTAATCAAATTAAATATAATTTCAAATGATCTTTAATATTTATTAATGGTATTTAATGTAATTGAACAATTCTTTGTAAATCTTTTCTTTGTAAATCAGTCCACCAGCGTTGTGTAATTGTTCAATTACTTTCACCAGCTCAGGTTTTCTATGTTTTTCATGAGCCACATGCAATTCTTAAATAATATTTAATTTGACTATTGTAATGATTACGCTATATCGTCATTGCTGCTGTAGTTCACAACTTAAGCCGCTGCAAATTCGAATTGGAGAATGATTTTAAAGTTTTTTGAAGAAAAATCTGAAAAAACTTTTCTATGCAAATTCTATCCCTGGAAGTTTTCTTGGAAACCGACAAGTTTACAAGGTGTTGAAATTTAAATCAGTGCACATTGAATGCGTCGCCAGTTTGCAAGGATCTGTTTCAGGACTTTTCCTCGAAAATCATAGCCACAGCCGAACTAATCGATTCGATCTTAGATTCATTATTTCCGAATCAAGAAACTTTTAAATTTACAATGAAATACGATGAAATACAATGACTCCGTGGTGTCATAAATTGCAAAAATACCATAAAAATAAGTCGCAACCTGGGTTTTTGAGAATTCCAAAACTACCGCATTGTATTCGAACAAATGAAGTGCCGTACTCTTCTGGAATCTTTTTTTTTAAAGCACATACAAGTAACACATCGTAAACGAAATAAATAAAAAAATCCTCCGCAAGATTTGCATCTCGAAATGAATCCCCGGAAAAAGAAAAGCTGCAGCGTTTCAAAAGCCTCGCTCTCACATCAATGCAAACATTCTTTGGCAGAACCGCAACCGGCTCAAAACAAACTCCAGTCTCAGAGGGAAAGATTTGAAATAAAAAATTTAAAAAATAAGGAACTAATGGACCGATTTGCATAAACACCCATAACAACAGAAGAACGGCGTTTTCGTGAGCCCATTTTCGAGTGTCTGAAAGTCCTTTTTGGGGATGTTTCCTTATACTCTTGTTATCTGAAACGTCGCCAGCAGAAACAACAAGTACTTGTACTGAAAAGGTTTGCGTTTGAGCACGCGACGAGAGTGCGATGATGCCAGCGAAGGCTTTTGTTTGGCTTTCTCGCAGAAAAAAAGAAAAAAAAAGGAAAAATATCTATTGTTTTCTCCCGTTTGTGTATAGCAGTGAGCCGTGAATTAATCAAGCCACGTGGTAATGTCGCTTCCTGAATCCCTGCGAAGACGTGGAAGTACTGCGAGAACCTGTTGAAGTCGCGGGGGGAAAATAAAGAAGGCCATAAGAATAAACGAGATGCGGGGATAAAAATCTTGATGGAATTTTGTTGCTTGGGATTCATTTACGAGCGAGGCGCTTTCAAGTGTTGGGAGTTTGATAATGAATGAGGGTTATTCAGCCTCGTCAGACTAAATTCCGCTCAGGACAAAGGAAGGAAAATACGAGTGGGTGCTGGTTTCAAAAGTACGAAATATAATTTGATTTTTATCATTTCCATTCTGAAAATTGTCCGGCGATAAATACGTTGATCCTCACGATGAAATTATTCCCTTCAGGCGTAAATTTTTCACTGCATCCATGCGCATGAGCGAATAAACCCGATATTTTTTTTTTTGAGCAGGCTGAAAATACCGAATAAAAATGCAGGTTACTCCACATTTTAGCTTTTCAAGCTCCGAACATCATCTTCCACGCAAAAACGAGTGATTGAAAAAATACTGACCATTATTATACTTGATGAAGACAAACATATAATTTTTCTGCCTTTTCTAGTTTTTAATTTGCTCTCCTATATGTTTCCCCGATATATTGAGAAATGGCACGGTTAAATTTTCTGCAGCGCAAACACGAAAATTTCTGGAATTAAAAAGCTTTTGGTATTCAATGAATGTATCCGTATCGTTTATTCCATTTTGCTAGAATTTCAAAAACCCGGTTATCCGATTCGAACTTTGTTTGCTCTTTTTTTATCGCACTAGGTGATTGAAAATCACGAAGCAAAAGTTCTTGATCTGGTAATTTCAGACTTTCGAATAATAATTTTTTCTGAAATTCAGCATTTATCGTGTTTGCGACCATGTACCTCATTGAAGAATTATCTGTAATTTATACCCTATTTGGGATTTTTCATTGGGAAATGAAAGGCACTGAAGGGAACTGAAGACAATAAGTTTTACGATTCCGCACGTCGTTTCACTTCATGTAACCTGAATTAAGATAATTCTCCATCCTGCAAAATCAAAATTACTTTGAAATTGACATTTATTTTTAAATGATTGCTTGATAGTCTTGAAAGACGCGATGGTCAATAGATGTACTGTACACGGAAAAAAGAAACCCTGAAAGAGGAATCCTCAAAAGAACAATTAAAACCCCTTAAAAAAAGCAAGTGAAGTACCTAAATTGTAAATAAGGTCTCGTTCAAGTTTTGTTAGTTTCTAATAAATTACGGGCTATATTTAAACATATATTTTTAGCGTTCTTTCTTCTGGTCAGGTTAAACTTCTTGGGGCTGGACTCGGCTAAACATCCCGGCATCAGACTTGAAGATTTCCATAATTATATTTATCTTAAAATGCAAAAGCCGATGAATTCCGTGGAAAACTCGCTATCAATCATGTTGAAGGATGTAAACCATATTTTCTGGCACTCAATGATAGAGAAACGTACTTCATAATGAATGATATAAAAATGTCTGCTAATTTGTGCTCCACTAAATATCAGGACATTGTTCTGTTTTTTGTAATATCGTTATAAATAAGTACCAGCACACGCACTCAAGTAAAATAAATAATCATGACTTTGCTGTGGAAAATACGTGGATAATAAAAATCCTCCCCGCTTAAGGTGCGAACCTCAGGCTTTCAGTGATTGAAAAATTGAATTTTTCTAATTCACAATAGATACAAATTTAAATTGTTGATTAAATGAAAGTTAGTGATTGGGGGAGCCAACAACGACTTTATCTTGTTGATCTTAAAAACGTTCGTATCTATAGGCTTTTGACCTCACTTAGAAATTAATCCAGGGAATGGGAGTAATATAGCGTGTGCCGGAATTTCAAAATTCGCGAAGAAAAAGTGTACCCAACTGAGATTCGCAACCCATTTTTCTGTACCAATATGTGTGTCCAGGAAAAAAAAAAAGGAGCACGCAGTACCTGGGTAAATGCCCTGTACGTGCAAGTATTTTGTCTCGCTGAGCTTGGATTACCTTCTTTTTTTTTGTTCATAAGAAAATTACGTTTCACGTTTAAAACCTGCTCCTTTGCAGTTAAGTAAGAACAACGTAGAACTTTTGGTGCCCGGCAAATGTTATCTCGCATATATGGAATCTCCGCAAGCTCCAGCGACGGAAGACATGTTGGGTTCCCTGGGTTCTGGGTAATCTTTCCTTATTCCTCTCCTCTCTCTCTGTCTCCTTTCTACCTCAATACCCAGACAGGGTCTTTGGGCAGCATGCCAGGGACAGAAAGACAGACAGATGGATGGATGGATTTATGCAGTTCCTTCACGAGGGCGGCGGGACAGCGGCGAATAAAAATTGCATGGACCCGGGTCGAGGGGCCCCCAGGCCGCATTTCGTTTTCTGCAACACAACGCGGGTTGCGGCATGTAGGTGGGCCCCCGCTGTTGTTTACGACGCCATAAAGAAAAATCAGTATCCCTCTGGATTACCTGGAGAAAGAGAGCCAGAAAGGGGAGGGGGGGTTGTGGAAGAAGATCCCAGAGCCCCTCTCTGTCTGTCTGTGATGCTTTTGCTCTTCTTTCAGCGAGCATATTCAGGGTTTCCTGGCCTCCGTCCCTCCCTTCATTCCTTCTTTCCTGTCTTTTTCCATCTCCGCCCATATCCCGAAAAAAAAAGAGAGCGTCTTCATAAATGATGCCCAGCGATCTCTTCCTTTTTCTCCGCAACAGGGGAAGAAAAAAGATGAACCAGGATTTTGTTCTCTATATATTTTAATATATAGCTACAATATGGAGGGGCCGAGTTAGGGAGTAAAAGAGAACCGGGAGATAAAAGTCGTGTATCTCTTCGCCTTCCATTTCCTTTTTTGCTTTGCCTCTCTTACCCTTGGGCGTTCTCTCCCTTCTCTTATATCGTCATGGCTGAGGTCTGGAGAGTATATATATATAGTAGCAGTAATTTTTGCGCGGGCCGCGTCCGCCATCGAATAAAAAAGAGAACCCCGAGGGTTGTTCAGGAAACCCAGGCTTTTTATTAAGCTGGGACTCTCGGGTTGTTCGGGGGAGCCCGCCTACTGCTGTTTTGAATCCCGTGCCAGCAGACGGGCGTCTCGCATTCTTTGCCGATTTGACACACACCTTGATGGTCGGCAGGATTATTTTTTGTGCCTTTACACTGCTGTGCTGGAATAACAATTTATTGGGGAAGTTGAGTTCAGAAATTCAATTAGCGAAGGATATTTCAGGCTGATGCGTGAGGACGAAAATAAACGAGCATATACGAGCGGTTTTCTGTGCGCAAGTCTTTAGCTGTCCCGCAAATCAATTTGTTCCGCCCCGTATGAAACTAAATGATTTCAGCCCTTGCCTATCTTGAAGCAATGGGAACGAAACTTTTTTTTTTTCGAAGTGAAGTACATACAAGTAATTCAGGAATATCACAATTTTGCGTGAAATGGGTAGCGGCCATTTTAAAAATGACTTCAGGTATTTCGCGAAATAATGTCGTGGAATATTTTTTTAAAACGGATATAGTGAGAGATTTAATTTTATGATTCGAGTCTTACATTGAATGGGTTTTTCAATCATCGTGCGAATTATTTTCGAAATTTCATTATGATCCTTTCTTCACTTAATTAACGCACAAACTTACACCCTTTGGTAAGATGTGAATCTTAATTTTTAAAACTAAAATTTTAGCAAAAATGTTTCTCTGGTAAAGAAGCGTACTCCGGAGGTTTTCGGTAATTTTTCATGTTAAAAGTTTAGGCAATATGATAATTTAAATTATCAATTCATACTCGAGTAGAAAGGTACATTCAATCAAATTTTATCGACTACTGTCTTATATTTTCTCACACAAGGAACTAGTGTTGATAATCAGGGTCAGAAGAAACATGACTATATCCATATTCAGTGCTTCTTGCAAGGAAACACTAGCTGGCTTCTTGGCGATTATTCAACTCATTCACTTATCCGAAGTGAAACTCAATGATAAAAATCCGACATTTGTCGAGGACTTCTTGAATAACACCCAAAGAAATAATTCCTTAAAGAAAATTTGTCCTTGTCCAGCTGGAAAAGCCAGCAAAAGAAAATTGGAACTTGTCCGTGAATTTGAATCTCCGGTATATTTTTTCCTCATGTAATGCTTCACAAGAACTATAATCTTACAAAATTCAAGATCATTTTTACAAAGGTTGGGGTTTAATCAAGTAATTTTTCCTCAAGATCACATTTACTCGTTTCCAATCAACTGGGATGCAGAAGGATTATACTTTTCTGAGGAATAAAAAGTAAATAATTTTACAAGAAGAGAGGAATTTCATCCATTTCCCCGAAAAAGTTATATACTGTCCACTGTGCCAATGTTGATTGTTTGTGTTTAGCATCTTCCGATTGTGTGATGCAAGAAGTAATAAATTGCAGACGCAAGCTTGGCCAATTTTATCTATTTTTTCTTTGTACTGTATAGGATTCAGCAGTAATTTTGATGATGTACCTTCAAAAACTTTTTTTCAAGTGAAATAGTGAACACTGAAATTCCATCCCAAATGCCAACGTTCAGCGCACTTCTGTAAGATTAGGTTTGAAGAAGTGAAAAGGGAAAAAGGCATTTTGATGATGTACCTTCAAAAACTTTTTTTTCAAGTGAAATAGTGAACACTGAAATTCCATCCCAAATGCCAACGTTCAGCGCACTTCTGTAAGATTAGGTTTGAAGAAGTGAAAAGGGAAAAAGGCATCATGGAGCAAGATATTTTAGCATATAAAAAAATAGATAACGATTGGAGAAATGAGAGCCATTGTTGAAAATTGTGCTAAACTCTAGAAATGAAACATATTTCTGATTTTTTGAGTATGTTTCTGACTAAGCTTACCTGAAAATCTATTTGCTCAGTCTGCAAAGAAACGCTAGGAGTGAGAGTTGTATATACAATGGTTGGTTCGTGAGTTTTAAGATTTGTTGAAATACATAATGTATCCTTCTATTGGAAATTCTCCTGTGGACCAGCAAAACAGAAAAAGGCTCCCAGGGCTGACTTGAAGAACATTATTGATTGAAAGAAAAGGCGTACAGTTGAACCTTGGTTAATGACCTTGATTAGTACCAGTCAACAATTTTTTAACCAAAAAGTTTGTTAACTGAATTTTTTCTCATTGCCTTGAATGGGGACGGATTTAATTTATCCTGTGAACCCAATAGACAGTTGAACATTGATTATACAGTAAACAATTCAAGACTTTCAACTATAATCAGAATAAATTGTTGCCGCATCTTATATAATGAGCCCAGAATGTTTCTATTGTGCTATATGGAAGTAGCACAAATGAAAAATAAAAATAAAAAGCTTTACATCCAGAGAAACACACTGTAGGATACATTTGTCATGTAAAAATGTAATTTTTTTAATGCTGGAAGAGAAAATCGATTAAACCTTCAAACTTTGTCTAGATAAATTGAACAACTAGAAAAACCAGCAAGTAAAGAAGCAAATAATTACGTCGCAGAAAATCATAAACGAATGATGTAGCCAAACCAAATTTTAAAACGCAAGATTACTTATATGAGAGTGCAAAAAGGGAATAATTTTCGTATCAGTGCGTAGGTGAATTATTTGCACTTCAATTCTACCATAAATTTCACCCGTGTAATCAAATTTGTTATTATTTTTCCCCAGAAAAAAGTTTGTCAACCGAGTTTTGGTTTGTTAACCAAAGGATTTTTCCTCAAACCAAAAAGTGTGTTGACCAAGTGGGTTGTTGACCAAGGATCCACTGTATACTTCAGTGTTCCCAATTAACCCATGATCCACAGACTGACGCCAGTTGTCAGAAGTTCTTTCCCAGTCGGCAGGAAAAATTAGTCCACATAAATATTTATTAAAAGCAGTAATGAAGTCTGTTATTGCAATCCAAAATTTGAGAGACAATGGCGGTTGAAATCGTCTGATGAAAAAATAAATTATTGGTTTTTCTCTAAATTGCAATTCAGACATATTTTCACCTGCTGAAATATGTTACTTCCAGTTTTCAACCTGAGAAACCTTTCTTCAAGCCCAGCATCCTATTTTGTAAAATATATTTCCACTGTATATAGCTGCTTCAACTTAATTTTTGAAATAAAAGTTTTTGTTGTGAGGAATGTATGGCGAGTATTTTAAAATTTTCTGCTGGTCACCAAACATTGTACGGAATGTTTTGCTGGTCCGCAGAAAATTTTATGCAAATTTGCTGGTCTGTGGGCCCAAAAAGGTTGCGGAGCACTGGTATACTGCATTCTAGTACAATAGTGGTGATGGTGTGTGTCCCCGTTTATTATTTATTTTATTTATTTTTATTTTATTTAATTTCCTGACAGGTCCCAATCCAACAGGGGCCGCGGCGCCGTCTGTCTGAATGTGTTCTATGGTCTGGGACCTCGACCTTTTCCTCAAGGTGAAATTGGTAATGGAGTGCGCCGCCGCCGCCTAGCTTTAACGCGTGCGCGACACAGTGAGCGAGCGCCAAGTGAAAATCTGGTTCCAGAACCGCCGCATGAAACTCAAGAAGGAAATGCGAGCCGTGCGGGAAATCAACGAACAAGCCCGTCGGGAACGCGAGGAACAAGAACAGAGAACGAGGGCTAAGCGATCGTCGACTTCCGCCGCCGCCGCCGCCGCCGCCGCCGTCGGCGCTCCGGCGGCAACGGCGTCCGACTTGAGCTCCAGCGGCGCAGCTGCTGCTGCTGCCTCCGCCGCAGCAGGAGTGACACCTGCTGGTGGTGCTGCTGCTTCGTCTTCTTCTTCGTCTGTGAGGACTGTAGTGGGACAACGGCGGCCGACGATGAACGACGAAGACGACGATTCCTGTGACAGCCCTGATTCTTCCTAATCACAGTGGTTCCTGTTTGTTAATAAAATAAAATAACAAAGACGCTGTAAAGCAGCAAAACGGCACAGTAAATGTTAGTAATCTGAGCTTTACCCTCATCCCTTGCCTCCCTACTCTCTTAATTTAGATTTAATTGATTGTGTAATATTCCTTAATCCCCCCAAATTTTGCAAGCAGACGAATCCTTTTTGATGAGCACTTCGGAATGATTATCACAAATTGATTCTTTGAATGTTCGAAGCAGAAGAGCTCAAACCATTCGTTCTCTTGACTATTACTCTCAAACGTCGTGATCAAGTAGATTATCACAATATTTAAAAAATATGATTGAATGTTCGAAATATATTCAAAATTGACCTGGTACGAGTGTGAGATTTTCTGGATAGAAATAACCGAGGATGGAAACAATCTTTGAGACTTGGAAGTGAATTTTGGATATTGTCAGGAGTAATTCTAAAATGTTTTTTCCAGTGGATTTCAATAATCCATGAGATACTCTGTTCTCCATTTCCTCCGTGAGCCTCCTACAAAAAAACTCACCGAAAGCAAAAATAAAAAGTTATTATACTTACTAGTATGTCCAACGTCCTGTTGTTTGAACTTTTATTGGGCTTTTACCTATTCAAATCACTAATCAAAACTCTGTTTTCTTCCAAATTTTGAGGTCCCTAACAATTCTAATAGGCTTGTTCTATTTAGAATTTGAAGAAAGCATAAGTAAGACGCAGTATTTTTTCCGGCCTCCGACTGAGTTTGAGGTCCTTTGGAGTAAACCGAATGTTTGAGAATTTTATGAATCGAATCAGGATTTTTAAATGCCAACTTCGAGAACAAAAACGACGCGATGTGATAAAATTATGTTTTGTCGTGATTTTTCCCGCAGAAGAAACGCCGAAATTTCCCACAGGAAATAGAAAATTAAATCATAGGAAATTCCCACGATTGTATGTAAATATTCATGATTAGAACGGCAAGTTTTTTCATAGTAATCGACCAACTTTCAGCGGAACATATAGAAATCCGTTAGAAGTTAACGACCAATGCGCAAATCGTCGTCGTTGTAAAAAAAAAATCACAGATTTCCCAGAATTGTGAAAGGTTTTTTTTTCTACACATCTCTTACTGTTTCAAGAAAATCCAATTGATGCCATGTTTACGTGTGTGGTAATAAAACGCAAAAGTTTTTGCTTCCGTGAATCGAACAGCGTTCTTACTTCTTGTTCTAATTTTCGCTTTTCTACCCTGGATAAGGAAGTTTTGAGCATGTTTTTCGAAGCTTTTGGCGGTTAATCGGCGTTGTTGAAACAATCGGGAGCGACGGTGGCGAAACCTCATCAGTTTCTGGCTGAAAAATTTCAGACAATTCAATGAAGCGGGTACTGCAAGCAGTGATTACAATGAAATTGGTGCTCTGAATAACCAGGAAGCCCAACAAACTCCTTTTTTTTTCAAAAGGAAAAAAAAAATGAGGCGGAAACGGTATTAGGATCCTTCTTTTGCCCAATTTTGAATTCGCACGCTGTTCTGGAAACAAAGCAAAATCGAGTCGAACAAAAGCGAGCCGTTTTTGCCAGAGTTTATTTTTATTTAATGTTTCTCCTTTCTTGCTCTCTTGAAGCCTTTTTTTGTAGCCGAGTAAAGTTTACACTTGGCGTCACCTTTAAAGGCAAGTGGCGAAGGTGAAGGTTGAAGAAGGCAAAGGGCAAAAAGTCCACTACAAGCCTTTACTGAAGGCTACGAGCGACGTTTCTAAAAACGTGGCCTCACCTTTTTGAGAAACCTGCCGGGTATAGTTCCGTGAATTTGCATTCGAGGCTTTCAAAAAAAGTCGAAACAATCTGCTTTTTGAACTCGTAATGCCAAGGAAATTTTGATCCTATCAAGAAAAAAAAAGATGTTTCAAATCCTGTGGTCATTCTATTTCTATATACTGTAATCAGATCACGGAAATTTTTCTTTTTCTTTTCACAGACGAACATTTAAAATCACACATTTTTTGGAGACGAAGTTTCCAAATTTAAATTTTCGTGAAATTAATGCCTCCTTTTGTGACTTATTGTCGTGTCAAAGAAAAGATGTTGGTTGATTTCGATCCTCAATTTTAGGTAACTGAAGTACTTGCATTTTGTAAGAATTGGGTTCGAGTGTTGCTCACGTATGGTCAAATAGGTTCTTTTGCAGCTTTTCAATCAATTCCAGATTGAAATACTGTACTACCCAAGATTATTAATGATGAAGATGTCACTTCTGTCGAAGAAACTTTAAAACTACTGGGCAATTAAAAGACGATGAAAATTCAATCACAAAATTCTCGGTCGTACAAGCAAACAACATTCTCCCAGACTCGTAAATCACATAAATTGAATGCAACACAAGGCTTAAAAATGAATTCTCAAAATTGTATAGCATACAGTACATAATCCAGACGAAAAACGATTTTACAAACGTTGCAACTATTTATTTTTCCGTCCTTATTTTTCCGTGGTTTATTTCAGGCTCTTTGGAATGGAAATACCCGACAAAAGCAGCACTCGATCGAGTCTCGGAAAAAAATTCGTCTTGAAATGGTAAATAATTTTATTCATTAGAAAAATCTGTATTAAAACTTTTCATGTTAAAGATCGGATTCCAATTCAATAATCCAAGGAGTCGTACTTCAATCATCATTCAGTTTAATGGTTATCACCATTAAACTATTTGCTGTAAACCCCGGGGTTTGAAATGGGCTTCATATGCAGACCCAATGAAGAAAATTAAATAAAATATTTTTAGAAAAATTCAGGCGAACTGCGTGATTCCTGAGTATCCTAACTCGGTGCACAAGCAAGACATGAACTCAGGTTTATGCTTCTTTGATCAGTTTTGTTTCAAATTTTTCCTACCAGCTGCGAATGGAAGACTTTCAAGGCAAGCTTTCCGACGCGGAGAATTTAAACGTGTCATAATTATTGAATAATGCTGATGTTCAAGTCGTGTGTGTTCTCGACACTTATTTTTTTTTTTTCGTCTATCTCCGCTAGTCGACAAAGAACTGCGTACTTTGATTTATACCACAAGGAACTTTTACGATCCAAAGCAGATTTTTTTTTATGTAACGGAGAGTAAAACGAAAAGAGAAAAAAATTGAAAGAGCAACCGTGTCGGATCGAAAATGAAGCGGCACAATGGACCTGCGCCGAACCAAGGAAACCATTTGCATGATGAAAATGGAATTATTTTCTGGGTTTTTTCTCCACGCATCCCATTTTCTACGCTCTTTCCATCGGTTTTCTTTTTCGGGAACAATCGGAAAATGTTCTCTTTCGAAGGAAAACCCTGGCGGTTAATATCTCGAGAAGTTTCTTTGAATTTTATTCCCTAGTTCTTTCGGATCGAATTTCTACGCAGGAGGGGGGAAATACTTTCGGAAACCACTGCGGCCAGTTTTATTCGATCGATCAATTGCGAGGTTTCGGAATTGTCTTATGAATATTTATTCTTCGGTTCGTCCATATCATGAATGCATATAAGACGCAGAATTGGACTGAGCTGAGCAAGTCGGAATGATGATTGAAGCACGAATCCTTGGATTATTGAATTGGAATCCGATCTTTAACATTTATGAAAAGTTTTAATACAGATTTTTCTTATGAATAAAATTATTTACATCTTCAAGATGAATTTTTTCCAAGACTCGATCGAATGCTGCTTTTGTCGGGAGAAAACTGGTGGGTTGGAAACTTTAACCTGCTTCAATGCTTGGCGGCCCGTGAGCAACGGGATTGTGCTGTGTATTCATGAGCAGCCACGTGAGAAGGCTGCGGCATCTATGGATACTTCAAGAGAATCCAGATTCATGTTCAACTGTTTTTAAATAGATGTCGCAAAATTCCTCCGATAAGGTGGTTGATACAAGCACTAGAGGGGGACTCCCTCTACAACGATGATTCCTGTAACCATTTCCTCTGTATAACGAATATGTTTTGGTCCCATAAGGTTTTCTCCTCGTGTTATTAGGCCTTTCTACAACAACATTTTTTCCGGTTCCTTGAATTTTTTCTGTACCTTGAATTTTTTTTTATTCGTATGAGCTCAAAAATGTATAATTACTTGCTCACCACTGGCTCTGCCGTCTGTGTAATAATTATTAAACCCTGGACTTCTGAACTTCCAATGTCCAGAATCAAATTGGATCCATTTAAACGGTTAAATGCCATTCTGCTGAGACCTTATACAGTATTCATGAATACATGGGAATCTGAAACATCATGCCATCAGTGTCTTATCCACATAGGCTCCAAGTGTTTTAATTTTCAATTTCAATTCAGGAAAGATATCCTTGGAGTAGGGTTGTTACAATCGCAATCAAAACTGCGATTACCCAAGCGCAATAAAAATGTGTCCGGAAAATGCTTGTTCAGGTGTTTGTCTCCCCTCTAACGTTGTTGGATGTGCTTTTCCTATGCAATGCTGATACGTTTGCAGTCTAGATGTCGGTGCTTGTATTCGTATTCCAAAGCTGATGGTCTTCTAAGATCCCAGCGTTGCGAAACTTCTGCATGCGGGTATCGGATGCAACTGATCACAGATTTGAAGTAATCCTTGGTGCCAAGATGCTCTGAAGAAATCGGTTCAGTTTTTGACGATAAGAAATAGAACCGCTTTCGTGACACAATTACAGTACCCTTATGTATCGTACTTCATCGCCTCACGTGGCGAGCATTATATACAAGCAGTTCATGAAAATGATGAATTCTCAAAGGAACTCTCATGCACCGACCGCGCGGTTCTCCTGTAATTTGCCCTTCTCTTTCTCTCCGTCTCTCACAGGAATTCCCAACCTTGAACTCCAGTGGAAATTTGTGCCAAGGATTGAAATGGGCGGAGCCGGAAAAGTCCATCAAACGGAGTCGACGCCCGTACCATGAAATCCCTCCTTCGACCGGTGGGTCTTTCTGACTCTTTCGACGACATAATCGGCGGGGGGTGGTCGTGGCTGTCGATAACCGACGAAACGCGGA